CGGACCCCCCTGCGGGCCCCGAACTCTCCAAAGTCAGTGCTTTTAAAAGGGCCCAAGAACAAACATGCAGTTCCGACGAGAGGCCGCACACATGGTCAGTACGTGTCAGAGACGCTTGCCCTCCCTGATGGGGACACACAGACGTAACCACTGTGGAGACAGCACCGGCCACCGTCACACTGGCAGGTTCCTCGTCTGGGGGTGACCAGCCCTGGGGACGCCGTGAGGGGCAGAGGCCCCCCGGGCCCCCCGGAGGGAGGTGTGGAGGACACGCCTCTCTGGGAGAACCGTGTGCGTGCTGCACCCGCGGCGCTAAGCCTCGGCTCACCCACAGGAGTTCTTGCACAGGGTTTTGAGATGTATTTTCAAGTGACCCATCACAGCGCTGGCCGAAATGGCAGGGACCTGGAAACAACTCTAGTGTCCATGGAGGGGGATGGGACCCATCAATCCTGGTCCACGCAGACGGGTGGCGCTATGCAGCTGTCCCAGCGGGTGTGCGGGTCTCTGTGCTGACAGGGGAGATCCAAGGGGTCCTTTTACATGAGATACACGTGGACAACCATCTGCATCCAGGAGCTCGTCTGTAAGACTACATGTATGTCATGTCAACATGCAGACACGTGTATATGTAAACGAATCTGCATCTCAGACAGACAGACAGAGACAGAATGAAACCAGCAGAGCCCGAGGGAGACACACTGAGCCGCTCACGATGGTCGGCCTGGGGTGGGACTCTGAGATCTCTTCTCCTTTAGGTGATGTGAGATTTTTTGTACGTGTGTCTGTGTGCACGTGTGTGTGCATGTGTTTCTGTGTGACACGTGTGTGCACGTGTGCCTTCCCGTGTGCACGCAGGAGCTTACACGTGTCTTGTGCAGATGTGTGCGCCATGCATGTCTGTGTGACGTGCCTGAATGTGCATGTGCACCTGTGTGTGTGTGTGTGTGTCTGTGCATGGTCGGGGGAGGTTCCAGAACATTCCCCCAGCTACACAGTTCTTACTCCAGTGGTGGGTGGTCCCATCCCCACCAGACCCAGAACCTTCTCTGAGCCCTCCAGCCTGACCTTGCCGCCCCTCTGCTGGGGGTGTGTCACCGTGTGGTCACGACAAAGCTCAGGCCCCTTCTCGGGGGTCTTCCCGCTGCTCCTGAGGGGTCAGCCACGCTGTTTGTCCCCTTTAATGGCTCCTCACACACCAGTGACACTCGTGTGGCAGGAGGGAACATCTGCTCCATGGAATTTGCCTGGCACGTGCCCCACCCACCGAGAGGCCCTCGGAGTCACCGTCTCGCTGGTCCCTGGCAGCGCTGCGCGCGGTGCCCTTCGCGGCCGGTCCAGGCCAGACCCGTCGGTGTGTTAGACTCACGGCAGGGAGCCCTGCAGGTGCAGATGGGCTGAGGGGCGGGTCAGCTCCCCTTGAGGTGGGAGACCATCCCGGATCAGCCATGTGGCCCAGAGCAGTCTCACCTGTTGGGAGGGGCAGGGGGAGGGTCAGAGAGGGAGGACGGGAGGATGGGACAGGGTCAGAGTGACGCCTGTGGGGTGACTGCGCTGGACGCTGCTGGCCCTGACGGTGGACGAAGGGGCCGCCAGCCCCGGGAAGGCGGTGGCCTCTAGAGGCTGAAAAAGGTGAGAAAACGGATCCTTCCCAGGGGCTC